AAAAAGAGAATGTCAGGCCAAACGTGTTCTACCCAGATGGTATCGGTATTCTCTTCAGACAGCGTGGCGTGCGTGAACCAGTACTTCCGTATGGCCTGAACCCAATGGAATCCACACATAAGGGCTTTGCCTTCGAATACTGCAGAGAGTCCAGTCTGGAAGCAGGCTTCCGCGTCGCTCATGCAAAAGGTCTTCTTGGCAGATCTCTGAGTGACGCTTTCCGTGGAATCCCGGAAGCCCTGGAAAGCCTCCTTGATGTGGTGGACCCCCATGGTGCTGGTCAGCATGAGGCCGCAGACGCCCAGATGGCCAGCAGGGGAAATGACCCCGAAAACTGTCAGGGGCCTGCCAAGTAGGCTGTATTTGTATCCGCCATCCGCTGCGCAACAATCCGAGTCGCTGGGCTGAACCCAACGACGCTGCAAGGATTTTGTTGTGCATACCAATGTTATTTGTGGTTTGCCCTTGGCGTCCTTGGACAAGTGGTGGACGGCGAAGTAGGCTTTGTGCTGGTCTGCCCTTGACGTCCCTGGACATGCGACGTGCAGCCGCGTAGCTGTGGCCAACTGCCCTATGTCCTGTTTGTGGGCGGCCTGCAAGCCCAACTGATTCTTCTTGAGGTTCTGCACCGTCTTCAAGTCGACGCCGTCGTCGACCACGCCCTTGTCCGAGCGAAGAGCGAAGAGCGCCATCCGCGGCCGGACGATGGGAGAGGCGCGCAGCTTCTCCATGATCGCTGTTCGCTGCGCCATCGTGTCGACACCAACCTTTCCCGTGCGATTGGATGCCGCTTCGTTGTGCGGGACGCCGTTGGTCATGACTTCCCACTTGTCGGACTGGGCGTTGAAGCGGGCCATTGCTTTCCACCCGCAGGCGTGGGATGCTGCGTTCCAGTGCTTGCAATGGAGGAAAGCACACGTGCTTGTACTCCGCACAAGCGTGGCCTTGCAGCCCTTCACCCTCATCCGAACACCCATCTTGCTATATGCAGCCGCACGGGAATCAATAAAGTTTGCCCCACGATGGTCGTCCCGATCCTCCGTCCGTTCGCGTCGTTAGACGTCTTTCTCGAGTGCGACACCCCCGTCCTCGTAGCATCGTTGTCCCCGTCTTCTCCCTTCGCGTCACGTCCAACGACTCGTAGATATAGCCCTGACCTTATCCCCCCTTTCGTTGCGTAGTTGCCCTTCACCCTCCCCCGTAGATTCGTAGAACGTTGTGTACGCAGACACAGCGAGAGGAGGATCCCAATCCTGTTTAGGCCGCTCGGGCGCCGCAGCAGCGGGCCTCTTCAACGCGGCATTTGGCTCTGGGGGCGCCGGCGCGGCAGCAGGGCCCGCCGCAGGCGGTGCTGGCGGCGGTGGGGGCTGTGCCGGCGCCGCGTCAGGTCTCACCGCAGGCTGCATCGAGTCCTCGACGCCGGCAGCAGCCGGACGGGCACGCAGAGGCAGAGGCCTCGCGACGGCAACGGAAAGGGACCTCGCGGGCATGCCCCCACGCAGGCGGAGATGCAAATCCAGAGCGCATTCATTTCGGATGTTGTAGTGCGACAGCGTGCACATGTCCTCCAGCTGCTGGCAAGCGAAAGACAAACTCGACACATGGCAGGGGAAGCCCGCGCTGCACTGCATCATCGTCTTCACAGTTTCGACGGTGTCGAAAGCATTGACGCGCAGGTCGATTGTGTCCCCCTCCCACGTGTTGACGTAGATCTGCATGCCCACCTGGGCGGTGGGAGTGAAGGGAAGAGGGGGGCGGGAGGGAAGGGTGAGGTGAAGGGGGGAGGGGGACGGGAGGGGAAGATAACGTCGCCGTCGTCGTAACGCTCGTCGTCGTCGTCGTAACGCTCGTCATCGTAGTAACACTTGTCGTCGTCGCGACGCTCATCGTCGTCGAAACACTCTTCGTCGTCGTAGCGCTCGCAGTCGTCGTCGTCGTCGCCGCCGCCGCTGCTGCCGCCGCCGCCGCCGTCGTCGTCGTCGTCGTCGTCGTCGTCGTCGTCGTCGTCGTCTTCGTCGTCCTCGTCGTCGTCAGCGTCGTCGTCGTCGTCGTCAGCGTCGTCGGCGTCAGCGTCGTCGTCGTAGTAACCTCGTCGTAACGCTCGTCATCGTCGTAACGCTCGTCGTCGTAACGAGCAGGAGCAGGAGGATGAAGCAGGAGTTGGAGCAGGGAGGAGGAGCAGGGTGCAGCTGAGGGGGCAGGAGTAGGAGCAGGAGGAGTAGGAGCAGGAGGAGGGGGATGAGGAAGAGGAGAGGGAGGAGGAACCTCGGGCCGGGCGTCGGGTTGGGCGTCGGGCTGGGCGTCGCCCGTCGCGGCGGCGGTGCCAGCGGACTGGTCCCGCGACACCTCGCAGGAGGAGCTGGCAGGATACCGCCGTGGAGAGGAGGAAGACGAGGAGGCATGATAATGATGATGATGATGATGATGATGATGATGATGATGATGATGATCATCATCGTCGTCATCATCACCATCATCATCATCATCATCATCATCATCGTCGTCGTCTTGAGCATTACCGTAGTCGTCAAGATGGCCTCAGGAGGCCCCAAGGCGGCCTC